TTACAATTTTTTATGAGATGCTTTAGGTCACAGCGTCATGTATCTTGGGTGCTTCGGCAGAACAAAAGTGCACAGTTTTAACTCCGCCACACTGGAATGACCTTTAATCACAAACAAACCAGCTAGACAACCTCAAATATTTGATCCAAGATTTTCATTGCATGTTTTGTTCTATAAATACCAGCAAAACACGATGCCAAGTAAAATTTCTCAGTTTTGCTGTCTAATAAAGGAAGCATAAAACATTCACATCTAAATTTGATTGTCAATAATTATGTTCCAAATCAAGAGCCTGCATTTAATTTATCATACAGAGCCTTGTTAATATTTACCAATTCTTTGTCTGTCTTTATCAGGGGAGACAAAATTATCTTAATATGTAGAGTATGACAGAAAGACAAGAGGTAGATATTATAATGCTTCTAAATACAATTGAAAATTTAGGGGGGAGGGAAAATTCATTTTTTCCAAGAAAGGGATAAGCTAGAACAAAGGGTCATTCTGATAAGCTTGGTGAAGCACAACTTGTGAGTATGTTGAGGAAACGTACTGCCTCGTTGGTAGACAGGTAGCGTAGATTCAGGTAGAAAGATTCATAACCTTAAGGTGATTTTATCAGTACAGTAGCCTTTCATAATATAATGAGAGTAAAAAATAATGGAGGGTGCACAATAATACAACAGTTTTAAATGGTATACTTCTACATGAGGAACCTCTTGATCTGACACAGATAACATAAAGAAATCATAGCATAATACTGTTACATGTATATAAAAGATCTATTGCAGAGGAATTGGGTCACTCACACTTTCCAGAGCCACAACAAGCAGGCTCTGGTTTAGATAGCAGTTGAATCATCAGCTTATTCGGGCTGTGGAATTCCCATGTGATGTGCCTTCTTTTACTTTATGTTATTGTATCCAGTAAAGTTTATTTTATCATTTATTCTGGATCCTGCTATTCTTCTTTTGGCACTGAAAAGGAGACATCACATGGGAATTCCACAGCCCAAATAAGCTGATTATTCAACTGCTATCTAAGTCAGAGCCTGCTTGTTGTGGCTCTTGAAAGTGTGAGTGACCCAATACCTCTCCAATAGATCTTTTATATACATGTAACAGTATTATGCTATGATTTCTTTATGTTATCTGTTTCAGATCAAGAGGTTCCTCATGTATAAGTATACCATTTAAAACTGTTGTATTATTGTGCACCCTCCATTATTTTTTACTATCTTTCTAAACACTTAAGTGCTTTTTGAGTGATTTTAGGCACTGGGGTAGTTGCATTTTTTTTCTGTGTACACCACAGCGCCAATTCACCATTTTTTTTTCCTGTTTGGATTTAATATTTTCTTATCTTTCATTATATAATATTTAGTATACAACACTTAATGTTTAATAAGTTGAGGGCAATTGTAATATAGGTTTAAGCAACTGCAATAAAATCATAGATATGGCTGTAAGTATATAAATATATTACATGATCTTTCAATGCTTTCATTATTGTCTTTCAAAGGTTATTTCATGTTTGACAATCGCATACTACATGGACGGTGCTGTTATCCATGAAATGATTCCCCTGTTGGGCATTGTGTCCAGCAATGGGTCATTCACACACTCGAAGAGTTATGTTATGCAAATCTCAAAAACTTTGAAAAATATCTCTTTAAATTATTAAGGATCAGCTACATTTCCTGCCATTTTCACAATCTACTCTGTAAAAAACATATTTACCAGCAAGGACTTTTTCTAGCAATAGATTATTATGATGGAATTATTTTGTCTTTGTACTTAACAGAAAACGCCCTCCTCAAGTTGACGTATATTTTTAATGAATGTATAAAGGCATTGCATATGTGCATATAACAGAGTAGTACAAATATATGTCCACGCATTGAAGTTTCTAGGTTTGTTTAAAATCTTTACAATTGTAAGTTTTTGTGTTGAGCATGGGGTGGAATGACCACCAGGGAACATCAGTCTTTGGCCGAGGGCCAGTAGCGGTCAGGGGCCCGTATACACAGATAGGGCCTAGATGGGGAGATCAGAAGATCTTCACATCTGGCTTGGCATTATTCAGCATGTTATATTCGCGCAATAGTAACGGGCCTCTGGCTGTGTGGGGCCTGCAACCTTTCTACTCCCCCCCCCCCAATGTGTGAGGCCTGGCAGCATGCATTCTCTACCTGCCCGGTCTGTCTGTCTGTCTATCTATCTCTCTATCTTTTTTAATGAATGTATAAAATCATTGCATATGTGCATATAACAAAGTAGTTCAAAAATATGTCCATGCATTTAAGTTTCTAGGTGGAATTCAAATCTTTACAATTGTCAGTTTTTGTGTTGAGCATGGGATGGACTGACCACCAGGGAACATCAGTCAGTGGCCGAGTGCATGTGGCAGTCAGGGGCCCGTATGCACAGATAGGGCCTAGATGGGGAGATCTTCACATCTGGCTTGGCATTATTTAGTATGTTATATTCAAGCAATAGTTACGGGCCTCTGGCAGTGTCGGGCCTGCAACCTCTTGTGCTATCCTTTATTCTAATGCCTCCACCCCCCATTGTGTGAGGCCTGGCAGCATGCATTCTCTACGTGCCAGGTCTCTTCTCTCTCCCTGACCAGTGTTAGCACTCTGTGTGGAGAGGAAGGAAAGGATGTGAAATCACGTCCTTTGCACTCATTCCAGACATGCAAAGCATCAATACCACATCTAAGAAGAGGAGCAGTATAGATTTTACTTTAGGCAGACCTGGAAAGTAGAGAGAGGCAAAATGTAGCTTGTGGAGATAAATGGGTTAAGATGGGACATAAATATGTGGATTGATGTGGTTTCATATTGGGGTTGAGCTGTAACAGAGACATATGTGGAGGGTAGAGGAAGTACAGGTGGGTGATAGGGCAGAGGCACAATTGTGGTGAACAAAGGAAACACAAATAGGTGACATATAGAGTCAGAAGAAGGGTGATGTAAAGACTATTACGGGGTGACAGAGACAAGAGTGGAGAGACAGAGTACAAATTAGGGTAGATAGAGAGTCAGAGACATGCAATGAAAAAAAAAAAATATCACATTAAAAAGAAAAAATGTCATGCAAACACAAATTGCAGTCATGCACATGGTGACCCAGTCTGATAATCTACACACACTCACTTTTGCATTCACACATATAATGATTTATTATTTACTGACACTCCTCACAAATAGACTACTGCAGTCACACACACACACACACACACACACACACACACTGAATGCTCATCTCTCTCTCTTTCTCTCTTTCTCTCTGTCTGTCTGTCTGTCTATCTATCTTTATATGTCTGTCTATCTATCTTTATATGTCTGTGTGTCTGTCTGTCTGTCTGTCCATCTGTCTGTCTATCTACCCATATCTCTGTATATTTTTTTCTCTCTCTTTATCCATCCATTCATCAATCCATCCATCCGTCCGTCTGTCTGTCTATCTGTCATGTGTCAACTGTCTATGTGTCTTTATAACCATGCATAGAAGTACAGAACAACAGCACTAATGGGTCTTCAATGTGAACACTCAAGCTGCTGCTTTATTTCAAACAAAAATACAAGTGGCACACAATCAACACAGCTGTCCATTTAGATTACTTTTATAAATATATCAGGCATTGACAAAAGTCAACTTCTAGTAGCAAATAAAACTTGGGAATTATGTGGCTAGAATGTGTAATTAAGCATACCATTGTGAAGGTGAGACAGAGCCTGAATGGTGCCCAAAGTTAAATATCCTAAATTGACCAAAGAAAACCTGGACCAGATAATTAGTTATTGACCAGGGACAATAAATAAATACAACTGTTTAAATGTACCAAAATAAGGGACCCAAGACAAATAGTAAATATATATTCAAGAAAAAAGACACTGTTAAAGGCATGTGAGCATAAGCTAAAAGAAAGAGAAAAATAGCATGATTGCAAAGCAGTGTTGCAAAATGCTGATGATGCTTAATACCAAATTATATTGTAACAAGCACTTACATTCCCACGCATGCAGATTATAATCAAAGTACATGAACCATAGGTCACATGAACAAATTGTAAAAAGGTTGGCCTATTTTCTGCAGCTCAAAAAAAAAATAAAAAATCCAAAACTGAAAAAAAAGAGAAATAAATGAAAACCCCTAAATACAATCTGCTGGTCTTTCGATGCAGACCCCCAAAACAATAAAACAAAATCAATAATAATTTTGACCGTTGGGTGTCGGAATCCTCATGGTCACATACTTATCAGAGATGCCATTTTTTTAAGCGGTTATTATGAAAGATCAGTGTGCTGAAATGTTTTCCTGTAATTCATTATCCATCTTGTCTACATATAGTAAGCAACATAGACACGTAATGATGTATATAAAACGAGTATTGGTACGAGTGATTCACTGGTCTTTAGCATGCAGTTTTCCCTACAGGATGATGATATACCTTTAAAGAATTTATTAGTCTGCTGTTTGCTCGACCCAGACATTGGAAATATCCTGAATAAACAATGATCCAGAAACTCAAGGTCAAACCCAAAGTATGCAGATTTATTGGAGCAGAAATAAGCAACGTTTCGACCCAATTAGAGTCTTTTTCAGGCTACCACAAGACTGCAAGTGTACCATTTAAATGTTTATTCCGCATATCTGTTAAGTGAGGCTTGGCCAACCTCATGCCCGGGTGAACCCTGGGGACCAGGAGAGTTTGGAGTGCTTTTGATGTACAGTGTCTTTAAGGTTAAAAAGTACAGTTTTCACCAATTAATCTCACATGGTGGAAATTGGCAGGGTATCAAGGGATTATCTGTTGTAAAGTACTAACCATATGCATAATTTCTAAAAAGTAAATAAAACAAAATAATATACATATATATATATATATATAAATATATAAAATTAAGAAAGTAAGAGCGCTTAAGAAAGACAGAGAATCATATACATATCTGACTGAATAGAGACACCTTTCCTGACATAAAACTGTCAGTAGTATACAATAGAGTGTCTGAAAGAGAGCTCACATGTACCAGGGGTAATAGGGCTCTGGTACATGTGAGCTCTCTCCCAGACACTCTCTTGTATTTCTTTGTCAGTTCTATTAGATAGTCTGCATTATATATATTTTATTGTTAATTTCAGATTTTATATTTGAAGATATTGTATTTACTGTAGTCTGTAGCGCGCTACGTTATTTGGTATATATATATATATATATATATATATTATCTATTACAAAAATATAATATAATAAAAACTAGGAAAAAATTCCTTTTTGACCACAAAATGGCAGTCAGATATCTCCATGGATCAAGCAGCTATTACCCCACTAATTTCTAATTAGTGGGGTAATAGCTACTTGATCCAAGGAAATATTTCCTGCCATTTTGGGGTCAAGAAGGAATTTTTTCCTAGTTTGTTGCAAAATTGGAAGTGCTACAGACTGGCTTTTTGCCTTCTTTTGGACCAACAGCAAAACATATGTGAGAATGGCTAAACTTGATGGACACAAGTTTCTTTTCAGCTATGTAACTATGTAACTATGTAAATGTAACAAATGGCATTACTATTAATATATTTTTGGAAAATAAACATACATACCACATAACCAGGGTTAGACAAATGCTAAAATACCGTGGAAATTATGACAAGTAGGAATGTGCATTGGCAAAAAATTTGTTTCGGTTCGGAAATTCGGGTAAATAAAAAAATGTGTCTGATTCGGCAATTCGGACCAATGGCATTCGGTTTGGCACTTTGGAACTGCAGAACATTTTCACTTTGAAACTTCGGCACTTCGGACATTTGTAAGCATCCGAATGGTATGAAATTAGGACGAATGTACATTCATAACGAAACAAATTGCACGTGTCTACTTTATATATCCTATATCAAAATTTCCTAAGGATGTTTGTCCAATGCAGTCATGCGCAGTAGAGCTGAGCTTTAGTCCTCCCGAACTACTGAACTTCATCACTGCAGAACTTCGGCACTTCAGGACTTCGGCACTTCGGACATTCGTAAGCATCTAAATGTCCAAATGTCATGAAATTTGTACGAATATACATTCGGAATTAAACAAATCACACATGCCTAATGACAAGTCATTTGTTATGAACTGTTAAAAGCATACTCAAGCAAATATTTACAGTAATCATTTGTCAATCGTGATGATAATCCATGTTTGCTGTAATTATTTTGATCACAAAGAATTAAAAAAAGAAGTAAATAAAGATAACATAAAATAAGATATTGCTAAGATGATTATTTTCATGCATTTGTGCATCTGAAGCCCTTCAACATCATAGCTAATGTGGTAGATAGAAGTCTTAATGAATGTTATCCCACAAAAATTAAAACTCACCCTCTTGCCAGATTTCTATACAAATTGTCACTTTCGTAATTTAACCTTGTTTCACTCCATAGACTGTGAATCAGACAGCCTGGTACTTCCTGGTTGCTTAGCTCAGTGGAGCTAAACTGAAGAGGCAGCAATTGCCCAGAGCACCCTCCTTGCAAAGATTTTTAAATGAGCTTAATTGGGAAGTCTGTGAAAGAAAGTTTGGATGGGGTTAGCAAGGGAGGGGCTTGCAAAGGCAACAAGCAAAAGAACTGCAGGTTTTAAGATATACCAGCAATGGAAAAAATGCACAATTAAATGCATGCATGTTTTCATTTAGTATATCTACTAAACAGTATTTTATGTTTCAAGAATTTGTGCACTAATGTGTCGCTTTAATTATCTTTTTCCAAAATTAGACCGTAGGTCTACACAGAGTTGTCAAAGCTAAATAAATAATCAATTTCATGCTGACATATGTTTTATTTTTAAAAAGAAAAGATTGTAAAGATGGTGTTGTATACAATTTGTTCTGGTCTGGTTTAAAAGTGGTGCTAGCAGGGTCCACATCAACAGCAAGAATGGACAACCACCAAAACAAGTAAGATTATCGGAAATCTTCTGTTCTCCAGTATGGCCCAGTATGGTCCCTGCTGGTGGCTACTATGCTATGCCTCCTTATTTTTTACAACCTTATATCAACCATCACGTAGTTCCAGTGCATTTCTGCTATTATAATATTTTACTTGTATTCACCAGAGAGTGTATCTTTACATGCAGGTGTGCGTAATAGGATTACACTTGAGTTCAAAATGAAATCAAACCTGCATTTCATTTCAATACAGCATGAAATACCTATCCTGTGTATGCGAGACTTACATTTATAACATTCTTCATATTCAGTGGATAATTTGTATAAGCAGACTTTTTTTCTGGATAAGAAACCTGTATTGATATTTCCAGGTTTAGAAAACCAGGCGTGTTCCAATTTCTAGTCATTTTTTAAACACTTTACATTTTAGTTCAGTTTTATATACCTAAAGCATCATTTTAAAAACTATTACAGCTTTGCATGTTTGCTGAGTGATGGTGCATAGAGCAACTCAGTCAGGGCGATGCAAGGACTATTGGCTACCCAGGCAAAAATGCATTATGCCACTCTTACTTCCCTCTAGCCCTTCTCTGTGTCACTTATTTCTTTACAGCACTTTTGTTTGTTTGTCTCTTTCTGCCGCCAGACCCTTTGTGTGTCTCTTTCTCCTCTTATTTAGCCCCTGTGCTAGCCCCTTTGTGTGTCTCTTTTTCCCCTTCCACAGCCTCTCTGTGTTTTTTTTCTCCTTCCCCAGTCACTCTGTGTCCCTTCCTCCCATTTAACAGCCACTGTGTGTCCAATTTTTGCTTACAGTACCTCTGTATGTCGCAACCTCCCTAGCCACTCTGTGTGTCTCTTGTACCCTAGCCCCATTTGTGTGTTTCTTTCTCTCTGCCCCGTCCCTTTGTGGTCTCATCCCCTCTCCCCTCTTGTGCCTGCTTATCTCCATATAGCGTGGCCATGTGGACTCTGGTAGAGGATCTTCTTACCAGTCTCTTACCAGTCTCTTAGCAGTCTGACAGGAAGCTGTTTGTTGCTCCCTGTGAGCAGCTTCTTATCATACTGGGTAGAGGATAAAGAAAATGCTCTACCACCATGTGGCCATGCTACATGAAGTGACAGGAAAGAAGGAATTCACTACCCTCCTGCTGGACACCTGGACATTGCACCCTATGGTTGCATCAGCCCCTGCCTCAGCCTACTCTCACCTATAACTGTATTTTAGAACTACAGTAATTTGCAAAACAAACTAAATATTGAGCTGGGCAATAGGGAAACTGATATTAACCACAGTATATTTGTTAGCAGTTTAAAGGGTATTTCCACTTATGCTAAGTGACAAACGGAACTGTTCAGTGAGGATAAACTACTTATCCCATACTTAATCTGGGTCTTATAATAAGAGTAAACCTTCCACAGAAAAAATGAAGAGCTATAAGGAGGGGCCTGTCTGCAGCTCCCTGTTTTGACAATGTTAACAACACAGGTAAAAATATCCCTATGTATTCCTTTAAACTCTTAAAGGAACACTTCAGGTACTGTAAACATGACAACTCTGTAGTGGTTATGGTACCAGGAGAGTCCTTGAAACCCACTATGTATGTCTGCCATGCACTGGTCTCTGTATCTTCCTTATAGTACTGAGAGATGGAGGCTCCAGCTAGGAGCTTCAATTGGCTCTCCTTAAATAAGCCCTGTAGTGCATGGACAGCTAATTGGCTGAGAGCATCAACTGATAATTCTCAGACACCAAACTAAGCCCTGCACTGCTGGACTTAGTTAAGAGCTGAGAGATTGCAGCTCATGTTGAGGCAGGAAGATGAGGTATGTGAACCCCAGTTATGAAGTCAGTGTAACTACTTACATTAATGGGGAGCAGGTCTGAGCTAAACAACCAGGAAGTAACATGAATGGTTGTCTGATTGGCAGCAATGTTGGTGTAACAAGGTTGATTTATTCAAGTGCCAATTTCTATTAAAATCTGCAAATGTTCTATTAAATGTATGAAAGGAGGACAAACCTTTCACACATAAAGCAATTCGTCAAGTTAAAGTGCATTAGAGGTCTTGAGTGTCCCTTAAATGACTAAAAAATAGTGTAGGCCACTTTTCAAGTTGATAACATTTTCTAGGTTGAACATTATTACTTGCTGTAAATTATATGTGTCGTAAACATTTTGAAAACTGTAATGTTAATCCAGTGTCACACCTTTGGAAGCCCCAGGAAGAAAAGTGAAAACTACTTGTGATGTCAGTAAGAGGGCCTGTCCATTGACACCATGCATATAATCTGCTTTGGATACATGGTAGTGGGGAAATTCCAAGAAGTATGGAGTGGCTTTGCTACATTGTTACTTTTGTCTTGTTACATTGCAGACATTATTTATTTTGGCAGAGGACTTTATAACCTCCACTTGGCTGTTTTTTTAATTTATTTGAGTTTGGAATAAAGTTGCTACTACCTGGATTCTGTCGATTCTGTTTGCTTATATGAAGGATTGATACACACCTGTTTCCTTTGGATCCAATGATCTCCTGGGCTTGACCCTCAAGGAGCTCAGCTATTTAAGTGGCACATGGCCACTATTTCTTTGTAAATTAATCCATGTGGGAGTGTGTTGGGAGGGAACATATTTGAAATGTTATTGCAGTATGTATCTGGTTATTTTTTAGGTTAATAAAATGTTCTGATGAGTGTATATGCTTTTTTATATTACTTGCACAATATTTATAATTTTTTTCAGTTTGATTTATATTTGTTCATGTAAAGCACAGTTGGGTGCAGCACGTTATTGCAGAATCACTTTTTCTGTAACATGAGATTTATGCACTTCATTTGCACTATTTGTAGAATTAGCACTTTAAAAATTTCAGTGCATAGTTCTTTGTATAAGAGTAAGTCAGCACCTTATTTTTTACCTTATTTAGTACAGACAAAAATTCATTTTCTCTTAATATTGGTCAAAGTAATAATGTGTGTGTAGCCATATCACTTATCGGTATTTGTTTTTCTTACCATTCTTCATATGTAGGGTAATATCATGAAATATTCAATGCATTGGATATCTCAATGTATGGATAATCAATGCCTTCACTTTATGATAGGAAGCTTGTTGCATTCTTGAGCACTCTAATTGTTTTGTGATATCAGTCAT